GGCTGTCTGGCAACGCTGATCAAAGGAGGCGGATGTTCGACAGCTCATCTCTGCCAGCAGGCGCTGCTAGAGACAAACCCTGTCATTCACCGCAGCAGGGTGAGGGGAGCCTGTCAGCATGAGGCTACTGTGTACATGACATTGCCAGAGTCTGGATTTTTAGTTTCTCACAGCGCTGCTCATTCGCTCATGTAGCTGCTGTGGCTGCCAAAAAAAAAGAAAGGGTTACAGCTGTGGCTGGCTCTCAGTGGAAGTGTGAAGCTGCTGGGGAGAAGGAGAGAAGAAACAGAGAGGGGAAAGGGATAAAGGAGTGATTAGGAAGTTAAAACTGAAGTGAGACTGCACACTGGCAGAGAGAGAAAACACTTTTCTTTGCTCGTGATTGCTTCTTTGAATTTGCTTATGTACAAGAATCAGTGTCTGTACAGTACATAGCAGTACAGTACACAAGTAAAGCGCACCAATTTGCACTCCACTTCTTGCATGTGGATTACCTGATGACAGGCACAGAGTATGTGCCTGTAATCAGTAGGCAGATTACTCTGAATTGGAAACACACAGCACGTAGAGAACAGGCACCAGGGCTCAGTGCTGTCTGTACCTACTCCAAGGGAATGCCAATATTTTGAGCTTCAGCCAGGGGGTGGATCTACAGTCTGCAAGGACTGTGATAACAATGCAAGTGTACTGACAAACTCCTTGGAGAGGACTTTGTGCACATACCAGGCCACTCTGGGCAGATTTAAAGTGGAAATGGAGGAAAAGAATGAGGGACAGACAGCTTCTTCTCATAAAAATACAATGCTTCCAGAACCCTTTGTTAGGACACAGGTGGAGAGTGGAATGTGATGAAATTCACCCTGATGTGCTTAATGCAAGACAAGAGAAGAACTGTGGGACACATTGTGACACAGTATCAATTTACTTCCAGTGTTTAAAGATAAAATGAGAGAAACATGTATATGTTTGTATAATATCACTGGGCTTGACAAAGAACCGTGCGTGGTTCTTAACTGTTGCCCTTTTGTATCATGTCATGACCATGATTATTTTTTGTTACTATATATAAGGAATTAAGGACGGATTCCTGTGTTTGACGGCACCGTTTGAGAGGTAGCTAGAGTGGGGAGCAGCTCATTGATTTATAATTATATATATATATATAAATTATTATTATTATATGTATGATATAGATAAATACATCCTTTCCAGCTGATATGGTCCCTGGCTCTCAGATCCCTGCAGTACTAGAGAGACTAGATTTCTTACAGTCAACTATCTAAACGCCTCTGGAAGCCATCGGCCAACTAATCGATTATGAAGATAACTAATAGACAACTCTACAGTTCTGGTGCCCCTGCTACTGCCTGTACTTTACCACTCTTTGTCCTCACACCTCCTGTTACCATTTTCTGGCGAGTTGGACAGGAGATGAACGATAAGCATCTTTGTCAGCTCAGTCTCCAAGTATGTGACAAAGAAACAGAACACACTAGATAAATTATAGCTTACATTTATAGCCTGGATTCCAAAACTAGAGTCTGTAGCCAAAAAAAAAAAATATATATCAGTTGTCTTAGGCTCCTACGACTCATGCTAGGATCAGTAAATGTAATATGCAAGAAGATTGAGGAGATTTTTATTGTTGCATTGCACCAATAAAATTAAGCTAACAATTACCTGAGTGACATATTGAGCAGCATCAGTGAAAACATGGTAATCGATATCAGTGTATTTCACCACCATTATATGGTCTTGGTAAACTCCATATAACACAAGGACTAATCTGGAAATGAATGCAATTAAATACATCCACTGCTGTTCCATTAACAAACGGTGAGCAAACTTTACTATCTTCTCCATCTTCAAAGATCTGAGGGTATAAGTCTGTAAGATGTGTAGATCACGGTGCTCACCCAAAGCTCTGGTTTTTAAAATAAAACAGGGAAAAACAAAAAACACACAGTTTTAGTCATAATAGCACAAATATGTGGAGTTGAAGCAGAAACTCTTAAAGTGACCCTAGACCTAGGAGTTAAGTCTTAAAAGCTTGTTTATCACTCGGCTGTAGATCCTCAGATCATCTCTGAATTGGTGCTGACACTATCCTTCTATCTGGCGGGTGACTACTTTTGTTCCCCATGGTCCCTGTGTGTGTTGTAAAGTAACCACCACTACAAGCTCATGATGAGCTACAATCTCACGTTTAGTATTGAGAGTGTAGTCCATCACGGGAGTAATCTTTGAGCGGTGGCTACTTTACCATACACAGGGACCATGGGGAACAAAAATAGCCGCCCTCCAGTAGGAAGGACATTGTCAGCATAAATTCAAAGATGATTTGAGGATCTAAAGCTGAGTGATACACAAATAAGCTACATTTTTGTTAATAGTGAAGGTACTTGAATGCATTTTTAAGTTTTAACTCCTGAGTTTAGTATCACTTTAAGTACACATCTACATTGCACAATGTAATAACATTACAACAAATATTTCACACAGTTCTGTAAAATATTACATTTTAGCATGACAAATAAAAGCGCCTGTCATATGCCATTAATAGTATTTATCAAGGACAAGGTCTCATAATAAACATGGCCATGCTATAATATTTGTTTTTATATCTATAACAAAATGGTGTATGCTAATGGTGTATGGGTCCTGAGCAAGCTCCATAACCACCTACGAACAGAAACACTCCTAAACTTGACCCTAACCATATATATATAACTACCATGTTTAACACAGAAGTGAAGCAACTTTGATGCAAAAACAGCTGTAATGGCACGATCCATTCAGACACCTTCTGAAAGAAAAAGACAGATTATAGCCATCTAGCAGGCCATGGTGCATGTCTAGGCCAAGATGGTGCTGGCTAAACAAGACTTTAACAGCTCCTAGAAAAACTGTCTACTTGACAACAACAAAGAGAAGAGCTAAGCTCGTATCACTCTTGGACCAAATTTACAAATTAGAATCAGCCCATAAAAAGACACTAGCCATCTCCCTAGCAGCACACCCAAACACTATCTTCATGAACCACGTATGCTCTACACTAAATGACTACAATAAATATGTCAATAAAGTAGCCAAACTGTTGGTCAGGTCTGTCAAAGAAACTAGGCTCTGTCTCTACATTCCACACCTCTCCTCACCACAAATGCATAAATCTCAAGATATAGTGAAATGTTTTAAAGCACTTCTACAAGATTCAATGAACCAGGAGAGCTCCATATTGTCTTAGTTGGAACCAGTCAGGTCTCCTTTATAGGGCTGCAACCAACTAATCGATGAGAATAGTTGTCAGCTATGGATTCGTTGCTAGCTCTCTCTCCTCCATGCTAGGAAGGCACAGCAAACAGTAGGTTGGTGCAATAAGCAGCCTATTGGCTATTGCAATTTGAAATGGCCAATTGCAGGCTGGCTATTGCACCCGCCCACTACTGCGGTATTTACATTGAGCTGACGTCTGAGGAATCTTGCCACTGGCAGCTGTCAAGCTATTGAAGCACCATGTGCTTACAATACAATTGTAAAACATAATAATAATAATAATAATAATATAAAAAGGTTGGGGGGAAAAAAAAGTCATTTTCGGTTTTGGCCTGACAATTTCTGCTGCGAGAGGTACGTTGCAGTGTCATTCATTTCCATGGCACCGCAAATGCGCCTCCCACCCACAATGTGATTGGAGCACTGGAACACACGGTACCGCATTGTGGCTTGTTTCAGTGCAGTGCGATTACAAAAAATTGTGCATGCTGTTTTATTCTGAAGTAAACTTTGTTTGTAACACTGCATTTGTGTATTTTATTTTAAATTAAAGTGACATTAAAGGATATCCTAAAACAAGGGAGGATGCGAACTGTCTTGCAGATGAAGGCAGTTCAAGGGTTAATCATCGGCTGGGACAAACCACAATGTCAAATTTTTAAAGAAAAATCTATTTATTTCTAATCAAAAACATACATAGAACATTGCTGAACACACGGCTGACAGTTTACTGTCAAATGGTTAAAAACGATGTCTAGTCAAACTGACTTTGATCGGTGGTGGAATGGATAAATGTGCCCTTGGTTGGCTGTACATGTATCTCTTATATTTATAAAGTCTATAGGTTATTTGGAGTTTTGATACTTGAATGTATCTATTTCTGTTTAGTAACGATAATTTAGATATGTCCACATATTCTTAAGCTGACTATAGTTTAGTGGACCCCTTTGTTCTTTGTTAAGCCTGTGTGTTGCAATTCTTTGAAAACCGTACCACAGAGTTGTCTAAGATCGACAGTGAGTTGATCTGTGATGGGGTTTTTTTTGGCAACTTTCATATTTCTATTTGGGGATGCTTTCAATTTAAACTGGAAAGCTGTTGGAATTGTGTCTTCATGGTTAGTGGGATTAGTGCATGTTTTGATGTGCTTTGTTTTTCCTGATCATTAGTACTCAGGAAGTTTTTCAACCATTTTATATCGGGGGACGTCCTGACGAAGCCCCAAGAGGAGGGGTGAAACACGTAGACGCCGCTTGCAAAGATTAGGTGGATGACCCAGAGATTGTCGGCTGTACAGCCCTAATATTTGGATTAAAAGTAACGAGGGGATTGAGCCAAAAGAACCAGTGCTTGCCTGGATCACCAACACCTGGATACCACACCAACTAAGGGGAAACCAAAAGGACACACAGTGATTAAAAAGCCACAAATAGCTCCACGCGGAGGAAACCCGTGAACGCGAAATCGAAGGACTGACCGAGAGGTCATGTGAGTAGACCTGCTGTTCGGCTTCAATACGAACTAGCAAAAAGCTTAAATTACAAATCACTGTTACATATGAACGATCCCCCCGATATAAAATGGTTGAAAAACTTCCTGAGTACTAATGATCAGGAAAAACAAAGCACATCAAAACATGCACTAATCCCACTAACCATGAAGACACAATTCCAACAGCTTTCCAGTTTAAATTGAAAGCATCCCCAAATAGAAATATGAAAGTTGCCAAAAAAAACCCCATCACAGATCAACTCACTGTCGATCTTAGACAACTCTGTGGTACGGTTTTCAAAGAATTGCAACACACAGGCTTAACAAAGAACAAAGGGGTCCACTAAACTATAGTCAGCTTAAGAATATGTGGACATATCTAAATTATCGTTACTAAACAGAAATAGATACATTCAAGTATCAAAACTCCAAATAACCTATAGACTTTATAAATATAAGAGATACATGTACAGCCAACCAAGGGCACATTTATCCATTCCACCACCGATCAAAGTCAGTTTGACTAGACATCGTTTTTAACCATTTGACAGTAAACTGTCAGCCGTGTGTTCAGCAATGTTCTATGTATGTTTTTGATTAGAAATAAATAGATTTTTCTTTAAAAATTTGGCATTGTGGTTTGTCCCAACCGATGATTAACCCTTGAACTGCCTTCATCTGCAAGACAGTTTGCATCCTCCTTGTTTTACCGAGCAGCGCTGGTGCCGGTCTCCGATCCAGCGTTGACTGCTGTGTCGTCTGTCCCCCACGGAGTCAGTGCGGTTGCACGCTGCCAAGCTGCCTGCATTGACTTACCTTGTGTCTCTCCTCGTCTCCCGGACGAAGATCTGTACTGCGCATGTTCCGCCCCATGATCCTTTGCGGCCGAATGGGGGGGCTTGTAAGCACCCCTATGTGATCGCAGTCAAAGTCAAAAAAACAAAAAAAGTTTTTTAAATTAAAAATAAAAATACAAATGTAAACGCACGCAATTTGTAATCTGGGCATGTTGGGTATCGTTTTACTCGTTGTAACCTCATCTTTTATATTTCATTAAAAAAATTGGTATTTTGTTGTGTTTTGGGGCATTTCATTAAATTTGCCACTAAATTTTGGGGTTTAATAAGGAGCTGCGCTAATATTGCGCAACATAAAAATTTGCAACTACCACCATTTTATTCTATAGGGTCTTGGCATTCAGAAAATATATAATGTTTGGGGGTTTTAAGTCATTTTCAGGCCTAAAATGTGGAATATAACATGGGTGCAAAAAATGAAAAAAAAAAGGCCTCAGTCATAAAGGGGTTAAAAACAATTCTCCTTAAAGGATTTTGACTTTTGTTTACACATCCCTGGTCACCCAGAGAGCCTTAGCCCGCACCCCAGGCCTCAGGATATCCAAGGATTTTCAAAGTGAACTCACCCTTTTTTTTTTTTCTCTGTTTGGGTTCTGAAATCCCGTGGCCTTTGCTCCCAGATGGACCCGGACCAGGCTCGGCCCCTTGGACATGGCCTCCTCAGAGACCTTCCCTGTTCACTACCCTCAACACGCGGACACACGGATGACGGAGGCTGTTAACAGGTTTCATTTAATGTTTCTCAGGTTAATTTTGTCTATTACTGGGGCCATACCTTCCTTAATGCTTAAGTTGTGGGTGTTTTTGTGAAAATGTTATGGCTTTTGTTTTCTCTTATTTTTCTTGGTTTTAAGTTATATGCTGTTGTACATGGGGGAGAGGCATCCACTCCCTAGTGATGAGATCGGCGTAGGGCGCAGATGTGGAGGGGTCGGCTCTCCGCTCCCGGGACGACAGGCCCCCCTATGGGATCAAGTCACAGACCACTGACCGAATTGGGGTAAGCTTTACCCTTGGGGCTGGGGGGTGTCCGGACCCGATCTGCGCCCCATGCTGTTCCGCTAATGGGAGAGGGCTTTGCATCTCCTCACACGGTTCTGGACCGGTTATTATAGATCTATTCGTATTCACATAGATTGTCTAACCACCCCCACATAGGACTACCCCGTGCGTAACGCAACCGGTTGCTATACTTGTTATTGACCTGTACCATTAGTCTGGTCAGGATTTATACACTCTTGGGTGTATACCAGTCTGCCTAAGATTGCCACATCCTGGGCTAGAGTCACGCT